TTACAAAGGTTCTTTATTGCCCATTTTATATGCCCTTTTCTTTAAGTTTGACTCTATAAATGTATATTTCCAAACACTGTGTTTTTTAATGATCTGGCTAAGATCATTAAGCAGACATCCCCTTTTAAAATATTTATTGTTCGGGGTGCCTGGGTGGCGCAGTCGGTTAAGCGTCCGACTTCAGCCAGGTCAGTTCGAGCCCCGCGTCGGGTTCTGGGCTGATGGCTCGGAGCCTGGAGCCTGTTTCCGATTCTGTGTCTCCCTCTCTCTCTGCCCCTCCCCCGTTCATGCTCTGTCTCTCTCTGTCCCAAAGATAAATAAACGTTGGAAAAAAAAATAAATAAAATAAAATATTTATTGTTCAGCTGAAATGTGTTCTAATGTTTTCTGACCTATAAGAATCTTTGTTTTTCAGAACATAATTCAGGAACAATTTAATTATAAAAATAAAACACATATTCTCTCCAACAACTGAGAAATATTGTGAACTACTGAAAGAAAATGCATAGCAAACAGGCATGTATATTTTTTCCTCTAATATATTTTACTTTTTAAATCAATGTATAATTAACATATAATGCTATATTCGTTTCAGGTATACAACATTGTGATTCAATAATTCTGTATATTACTGAGGACTCACCATGATAAGTGTAGTCATCATCTGTCACCAAACAACATATTAAAATATTATTTATTATATTCCCTATGCTGTACTTTTAATCTCCATAACTTATTTATAACTGAAAGTTTGTATCTCTTAATTTCCTTCAGCTATTTTGCCCATCCTCTTACCCACCTCCCTTCTGGAAACCATCAGTTTGTTCTCTGTATTTAAGAGTCTGCTTTTTGTTTGTTTGTTCATTTGTTTTGTTTTTTAGATTCCACATATAAGTTATATCACTTTGTATTTTTGCTTTGTCTGACTTATTTCACTTAGAATAATACCCTCTAGTTCCATTCATGTTATTGCAAAATCCCATTCTTTACCATGGCTGAGTAATATTCCATTACATTATATATGGTATAATATATATGTGGCATAATATCCCATTATACCTATCTCTATCCATTCATCTATCAGTAGACCTTCGGGCTGCTTCCTTATATTGGCTATTGAAAAAAAATGCTGCAGTAAACATAGAGGTGCATGAATCTTGTTGAATTAGTGGTTTCATTTTCTTTGGATAAATATCCTGTAGTGGAATTACTGGATCATATGGTATTTCTATTTTTAATTTTTTAAGGAAACTCCATACTAGTTTTCACAGTGGTTGTACTGGTTTACATTTCCACCAACAGCTACATGAAGGTTCCTTTTTCTTCACCTCCTTGCCAACACTTGTTATTTCTTGTCTTTTTTATTTTAGCCATTTTGACAGGTGTAAGGTGATATCTCATTGTGGTTTTGATTTGCATTTTCCTGATGATTAGTGATGTTGAGCATCTTTTCATGTGTACATGTTGGCCATCTCTGTCTTCTTTGGAAAAACGTCTATTCAGGTCTTCTGCCCAGGTTTTGATTTTTGGTGTGTGTGTGTGTGTGTGTGTGTGTGTGTGTGTGTGTGTGTGTATGTGTGTGTGTGTTGAATTGTATAAATTCTCTATGTATTTTGGATATTAAACCCTTACCAGACATATCACTTGCAAATATCTTCTCCCATTTAGTAGGTTACCTTTCTGTTTTGTTGATGGTTTCCTTCACTGTGCAAAAGTTTTTTATTTTGTTGTGGTTCCAATCAGTTTATTTTTGATTTTGTTTCCCTTGCCTGAGGAGACATATCTAGAACAATATTGCTAAGTCCAATGTCAAATTATTGTCTATGTTTTCTTCTAGGATTTTTATGGTTTAAGGTCTTATATTTAGGTTTTTAATCCATTAATTTTTTTTTAACATTTATTTATATTTTGAGAGACAGGAAGAGACAGAGTGTGAGCGGAGGAGGGGCAGACAGAAGGGAGTCACAGACTGAAGCAGGCTCCAGGCTCTGAGCTGTCAGCACAGAGCCAGACACAAGGCTCAAACTTATGAACCGTGAGATCATGACCTGAGCTGAAGTCGGATGCTTAACCGACTGAGCCACCCAGGCTCCCCTTTAATGCATTTTGAGTTTATTTTTGTGTATGGTGTAAAAATGTGATCCAGTTTCATTCTTTTGCATGTAGCTGCCCAGTTTCCCCAGCACTATTTGTTGAAGAGACTGTCTTTTCCCCAGTGTATATTCTTGCCTCCTTTGTTATAGATGGACTGACCATATAAGCATGGGTTTATTCCTAGGAAGAAAGAACCATGTATTCTTAATAGTGGAAGAGGATATGAAGAAAATGTTCCAAATAAGTAGCAATGTTTACAAACTGGGCATGTGTGATTTTGATGGACAACTAGAGTACATGAATAAGTTTTAATGGTAGCATGAAACCACTGCAATAAGTTATTTTGTTCTTTCCACTTATGCTTAGAACAATTTTTTAAGGTTAGCTATTATTGATACCACGATTAAAAATCATTACTATATTCTCATCTCTGTTGTGGCAATGAAAATTTTATCCTATACCTTGAGTTTTCTTAGGGTAAAAGGATAGAGTTAAAAAAAAAAGACAAAGGAAATATTTTCATTCTTTCTCTTGCTATTTCCAGCAGCCATATGCAAGAGAAAGTATCAGTTGTAGAATACTAGAGTCACAGCGGTCATTAGAAATCAGTAACAACTTCTAGTTTAGTCCAGTTCGCCAGTGGTAGTGATGGTTAATTTTATGTGTCACCTTGGCTAGGCTATGATGCCCAATAGTTTAGTCAAATACTAACCTAGATGTTGCTGTGAAGGTCTTTGTGGATATGATTAGCATATACTTATTTGACTTTGGGTAAAGCAGATTATTTTCTATAATGTTGTTGGGCCTCACCCAATCAGTTAAACGTCTTAAGAACTGAGACAGGTTTCCTAAAGAATTCCTCTTCAAGTCTGCAGCATAGAAGTCCTACTTGAGTTCCCAGCCTACTGGCCTGCCTTTTGGGTTTTCCAGCTCTTATGATCACATGAGCCAGCTCCTTAAAATAAATCCTTCTCTCTCCTTCCTTCCCTCCCACCTTTCCTCTCCCTACTTCTGTGTGTGTGTGTGTGTGTGTGTGTGTGTGTGTGTGTGTGTGTATGCAGAGAACCATGACTTATACAGTGGGCAAAGTAAAACCCAGTGAAATCACATCATTTTCTTAATGTTATTTAGTAAGTGGTAGCAGTAGTGGTAATAGAAAGATGAGGAAACTGGGTCATAAAGTTGCCTAAAAGATTGTTTATAAGGCTGGGAAAGAAATTCAGAACTATCAACTTTCAACCCTGTCCTTTCTGGTGGATTGCATGCTGAGAAATGTGAAGTTTTATGCAAAATCAATATATTAAAAATTCTGGAATTTAAAGCAGATAAAATAGGAGAGGGATTGTTTGCTTTACCAAAAGATACAGTGTACAATTCCTTATAGAGACAACTTTCCTCAACATTTAAAGTGGTTTCATTAAAAAAATAAAAAATGTTTGTAAATTTTTAGAGACACATAAGTTCAACATACTTGAGCAGGGCATATTTTTAAAGTGTATCCTATCAAAAACTATTCCCAAGATTCAATAATTATTTCATTCTCTTGAAGATGAATACTCTGTAATTATAGAAAAGGCAATAAAATAGACATATGTTATTGTCTGAATAAACATAAATCTCACATTTCATATGCTGCTTTGCTGATAACAAAGCTTTTCATATATGCCCCTAGAAGATTCACTACAAATCTCTGAGTTATTATCACTATTTTATAATGGAGATAACTAGGGCTGACAGAGACTAGAAGACTTGCCCAACATACTCAGAGACAGAGCAGCTGATTCCAGATCTGAGCTCCTATCATGGCCCTGCCATGATGCCCACAGAGCACCAACATTAGTCAGAAGGGTGGTATTTGTAGAATCTTATAGTGAGCTAAATTCTTCACTCTAATCAAAAGGATATGTGGGCTCCTACTAGGCTAGCAAGAATATTAAGATTTGCCTTAGGAAAAAAAAAATCCCAGGACGTTTCTACCTTATTCTTAAAGATAACCCTGCCATGTCTTCTTGAAGCTATGAACTGATTCTAGGCAGGAATGGAAAATTTGATCACAAGGATGGGGACTGATCTCTTCTCTCCAACCTTCTCCCAGTGCTCCCCATTTGGAGTCAATATTCTCTGGGCTATGCATCTTCATACGATAAACAAGCTTTAGTTGTGGATTTTAGTGCTGTAGGGTTTACTGAAATGAAATGATCATTCCCAGGTTTGACAGCTCTCTCTCTCACCTTGTTTTCATTTCCCCAACCGAATAGCGTTTACTTTAGGAACAGGATTTACACACCACTGGATCACAGAACAGAGGTACCGTGTTGCATCTACATTCTCTGGGTTGCAAAGACCTAGCCAATTTTCAGTGCATCACTTATACATTCCTCAGGCCACCATTAGACTCATCACGTTTGTAAAACTTTCCCTTCTCTTTCTCATCTGAGAGCAGGTGGACCAAGACAGTTCTTTGGAGGCTCAATGAGTGATTTCTCCTGAGAGAGACACATCTGTCTAGTCTGCCAAGGAATGAAAAATCAGACAATCGCATAAATCATTTTGAACGTTGCCAAGTAAATTCCACCAAATGGTACTGGCAATAATCACAGTATGTCACCAGGAAATGTGATTTTCTTCTATCATTGGGCTTTAGCCTTGTCCTGAGTGGGTGAAAATGAGACAGAGGACATAGCTTTCCCATGGCGATAACAGATTTCTCATGATCCCAGAAACGAAGGGGTTGAAATGCTTCTTTACCTTGAAACGTCTGGAACAGGGTATCAGGAATTAAGTAGGAACCACCTGGAATTTACTGCTCTTTGCCTACAGCACAATTGCCAACCATTCCCCAAATGAGGCAAATGATGATTAAAGACCACCATTTTGTTATACGCAGGGCTGTGGGCTCCGGCTGAGGAGAGGCACAACCTGTTGTAGCTTATAAAAAAGGAAAGCTCTTTGGTAAGAATGGAAAGTCCTGAGAGCCAGTAGGCGAGTCTGCTCCCCAGGAGGCGATAGCATCCCAAGTCCACTAGGATTTTAGCTCCAACCACCGGACTGTCTTTCGTCCAGACTGGACCAGGAAGTCACATCAAAGGGCCGAGCAAGACCCTGGGCAAAGCAGCTGGGTGAACCAAGTTACAAAGAAGCCAAGGAAAGCTGCAGAATGGCGAGAAAAGGCAGAGACGCATAGGAGGGATAAGACGGGAGGAGGGAGGCGAGGAGGGAGGGGAGAGAGCAGAAAGCCGAGCACGGACGTCAGGAACAAAAGCTCCGGCGGAGTCTGGCGGAGGCACTAGGGGAGCACGGGGTGTTTTGAATAATTATTAAAATTAGCATGTGTCTGCGCCATCCTGTGGGTGTGGCGCAGAGCGGAGTGTAAACTCTAGCGGGGCCGGAGCAAACACTGGATTAGCGGCAGCAGCCTGCCAGCCTGCCCGGGAGTGTGGGGACCAGCGCGCGGCACGCCGACCGGCACGATGGCCTCGTCTCAGGGGAAGAGCGAGCTGAAATTCGCCGACTGGATGGCAACTCTGCCGGACAGCATCCACAGCATCCCCCTCACCAATTTAGCCATCCCAGGTAGGCGCGCAGAGGCTGCCGACGGGGCGCTCCACCCGCCCCGCCCTGCATGATCCGCCACGAAGTGGTAACTTGCCACGCTGCCCGAGGGAGAGGAGCTCGTCCCCAGGGGTGGGTCTCCGGCCAGGCGAGCGCGCGCTGGGAGCCTCGGGCCTCCTGGCGTTTTGCAAACCTCTGGGGACCGTGGCGCGGCGAGTCAAGGTGACTGCTGTTGCACTGGGCTGTGAAAGCAGGCAGGCTGTGCGAGAGGACTGGGGCAGGGGGAAGCCTCGGCCCTAGGGTCCTCCTCGTGCCCCCTCCCACGGTTTTCCTCCCAGACTCGGGGTGGGGGGGCGGGGGCGATTTCTGGGTCTGCGGGGTGACTGTGCGCGGCGAGCGCGAGCTGGCGTCCGAGGGCTCGGCTCCGGCTCCGGCTCGTGGACCTCCGACTCCATCCCTGTCACGGAGTCGAGCGGATTTGGTAGATTCTCGGTTAGAACCTACCCGAACCATTAATATTCGTCCCCAGTCTCCTTTAAAGAGACAAAGCGCTTCCCGAAGAGCGATGAAAGTTCGGGGACCCGCGGCGGCGTGACCACTGCCCTTGACGGGGAGCTGAAGGGAGCGAGGGGCGGAGGGGCGCCGCTTCCCGGTTTGCGTGGACCCGGCGGGCTTGGCCGCGTGGTCACCGTCTGGATTGCGTTCCGAGTGCTGTTAGCGTCGTATAGCGCCCGGGTCAGGAAAGCAAACCCTTGCGGACCGAGCGTCTGTGTTGCTTGGGACAGAAGCCCAGGAGGGAAGCCTGCGTGAGCGGCGGCCGAGGGTGCGATGAACTGGCCAACCAAAGGGGAAAAAGCGGACAGTGCGAGCGTCCAGACAGCCTAGAAGGAAGTCCGGCAAAGCGAGGAAGAGACGCGAGGGACCCAGAGTCTTCAGCATGGCGCGCGCGGTTTAGACCAGAGAACTAGGCAGCTTTCTGGGGCGGGAGCGCTCAGTAGCCCCTAGCTCAGGTGTGCAAGAGAGAGGGACATTTCAGGGCGGACTACTACGGTGAGAGCTGGGGCCACGGCCATACTTGGTTACCAATTTGCCTCTTCACTTGGGCTGCGGGTGCAGATGTCTCATCCCTCCAGGACCTGGCTAAAGGACAATTTACCCAAAGGTAGTCCATCCCTAGCCCAGAGCTCAGCCTGGTTATCAAGTTCACCCTTCTGGTCTATCTCCTCTTGACCTGCCCCATCCAGCGCCCCCTCTCAGCCACTGGAGGAAGACATAATAAAGAGGAAAGGAGAAAAAACAAGAGAGAAGGGTTCTTTTGAAAAATCCCAACAGGCTCTATCTAGCCAGCAGCGCTGGAATTGATCAGTAACTCAAATCAGTGGTCCGTTAGTCAAGTGGATGTTTGGCTCCTAGGACAGGCACAGGTTGCATTCTGAGGGCCAACCCCTGAAGGAAGGGTTTGTCTCCTTTTGCCCTTCTTCAAGAGGTTGCTTCCCGAGAGCCCAGGTACCTCCGAGGAAAAGAACAACCCAGCTTCTCCACCCTGCACTTACCCTGAGACCCGGGTGAGCCTCCAGATTGCTCTTTTGAAGGAGACGATAGAAAGTGCACAACTTTGTTGGCAAAATTTCACTCTCACTTCCACAGGCGTTCCTATCTTTTCTTGCTTTTTATTTGGCTTGTAGACGGTTGCTTTCATATGATCTCACCTGAGCATTTCTGTACACGTAGTAATAAAGGCAAGGACTCTGATGCCAGCCTTCTGATAGATGACTCACCAGATATGCAGGGGGTTTAAAAGCCTAATAAGTTCACATTGCTAGTTCTGAGGGATGGTATGATACTATGTCAGAATCTACATTACATTTCTCTAATTCTTCACCTTTCAAAGCTGTAGTATTTACACCAGATCTCATAATCCTTCCCCAAACCTCATGAAGCACACTGGTTCCATTAACTCCATTTCATAGATGCCGCTCAGTGAAGGCAAATGATGTACCATCAGATAAATGATCTGGCCCCTAAAGTGGTCCTTGGGGAAAGTCTCCTAAGACTTTTAATAGGGAAACGCATTGGGATTTGTATCGGGATGACTCAGTGGCAAGAACTACTAACCAGGGTGAGGGGACAAGGAACGAGGCATTAGCAGGATACAGGGCAGTTTTCCTTTTCTTCCCATGGGTCAAAGTGAAAACCTGAGGTCAGAGACTTTGATATTCTGCTTGTCTTCCAGTAGAGGCATTGGGGGTGAGACTGGGAGGCTTCACATGAGACCCATTTTGAATATGGTACTAGAGGGGCTGTGGCATTGGACACAGTGAGAATTTTCACTGCTTTCCCAGCCCTTCTTAATATTATACTCAAAGCGAATCCCCTGCAAAGCATCCCATTCTCACCCCCAATACTTCTGAGAAAAAAAAATGTTTTGCCAAACCCACACCCCTGAATTTCCCCAGGATTTTGTAAAGTAGATTTGGTAGACCCATACATATAAATGTAGGTGTAAAAATGGGTTTGGTACTTTTGTGCATTGCTCAACTGTGAGAATTTTTGGAGGAAAAAAGACATTCAAACTTTGATACAGAAGACTAATTGGAGACTATTAAACACTAATGGAATAATTGCCTTAAAATCATGCTAATAGCTTCCTGGCTGCTACATGTTTACTTGGCCAGTTGCTGCAGCTTGAATTAAGTAATTATCTCCACCATTTAAAACCACTCCTGATGCACCATGCAAGTGTTTCTGTGGAAGGGAACGCCTGCTCGGTCATCCACTAAGTTCAGGTTTTCTTAGGTGAAGCAACCAGAGAGTGAAGAGCTGCTTGATAATGAGGCTACCCTCTTGGGGCAGCTGACCCAGATTATTCAGGGCTGGTGCAAAGAACAATATGCAGGTGCGCGATATTCCCCACCATGAGTGCAATTCTGGCATCTCTAAACATTTCTCTCCTGTCTGCGTCTTGAATGCTTTCAGAACCAAATCGCTTACTGGCTGTTTTGCATTTAAATGGCGTCATGATTTGGTATTGACTGCCCTAAGGAATTAAGTTGGTATTAGTAGTTTTTGCTTCTAGTCTGCTTTTCAAAAGAATGGTACTGTCAGAATACGTTGACAGTTACTCAGATTTTAGTCTCGTTCATCATTTCTTCCAGCCTCTGATGACACCAAACTAAATTTTCATTCATACATGTTTCTTTAAACAATATCCTGGCATTTTGGGTTATGAATGATACTTCCTCTCACTATGGGCAGGTGAGAGAGGATCGACAGAGATGCAAACAGAAAGAGAGACTATAAAATTCAGGTGAGAGCGAGTCTGATGAATTTCTGGCATCATTACAGGGGAGTTCTAACTCTATAATCATGGTGCCTCCAGAACCTTGGTAAAGAGATCCATCATTGGAACAAGCAAGCTGTTGCTTGATCTGGGTAAAGCGTTAGTGATCTGGGTCTATGATAGGTAGTCATTCTGTCCAAAATTTGAAACATCGGGAAGGGTTTTATTATTCCATGGGAGGGATCGGCTGTGCGTTTTCTGATATGTGATGAAAATCTTCTTCACATAATGCAGCAAACTGACCAAGTGACAATGAAAGATGGGCTAAAATATGTGGTATTGGAACTCAGAGAGGATGTATGTTTCCTTGGCGTTGGAGGAGTTCATGGAGAAGTGGAGACCTCAAGATGGACCCCACCATCAGAGGCTCCTTACCCCACCCCTATCCTTGGAATGTATTTTCCACACCTGGAGCCCTTTTCAAGGATGCTGCCTTAAGAGAGTAAGTTGTTATTGAGACCATCTGGCAGTACACGTGACTGAATCTGGGTAAGGCCTCTAAGATTCTGGTGGGTGGGTGCAAAGATGTACTCTTCTTGAGGCCACTGAAGACAAGCCTTGTATGTAGGTTCTCTTGTTTTACTAAACTTGCCACCTACCAGGCTGGGGGGGGGGGGGGCTGCTTTTTTCTTTGGTCTCTCCTGCCCTCTGTGTACACAGGTCAGGGTTAAAACCAACGCTTAAACTTTCGATAAGGAACACAGAAATACTTTGGAAATCAATAATCATGCTGTTGATTTTGTTCATTTCTTCCAGAAAATGCCAGTGGCAATGAAAAAGAGCAGTTTTACTTAGAGAAATTAGATGTTTATATGGTCCTGATTTCTGTGTTCTTGTGTCTGCTTTTATTAGTTTTTAATGTCTTTCCCTACAACGATCTCTTCTTGTTGCCAGTTATTTCTGGAGCCAGCTGTCTTTTTCCTTTTCCTTGTAACTTACTATTTCTGTTTTGATTGGGATGAGACCATCTACAGGACATATCTAGGATTGGGTCTAATTGTACAAATTTCTTTTAAAAAGCAAGTTTTTCCCCCTATAATTTTAGGATGGTGACACTGAGATTAATCCTGGAAAGCAAACAAAAGCAACAAAATTGTTTAGGATGAATATCTTTCTTGTGTTGCCTTTCCAATTCCCAGTTTTGTTTTTGATTTTGCTAAAAAGGAAAAATTAAATATCTGGAACATAATTTATTCTAGGACTTTTCTTGATGAGTTGAACTGAATCACCAACTTTTAATATAAAGTGATCCTGATGCCATTTTACAAAATGCTTTCTCATGTACATACGTGTTTTCTACATGTTCTATCAGTAAACCTCCAAGGCTTTGCCACTCAAAGTTGGTCCAGGAAGCAGGGAAGGAATAGGGGAGCTTGTAGAAATGGAGCTCAGACTCCACCCCTCAGACCAGTTTAATTACAATGAGCATTTTATGTGATCCCCAGGTCTTGTTTTTTTTTTTTTTTATGTTTATTTATTTTTGAGAGAGAGCGCGAGAGAGAGCGCACAGCGGGGGAGGAGCAGAGAGAGAGAGAGAGAGGGAGACACAGAATCTGAAGCAGGCTCCAGGCTCCAAGCTGTCAGCACAGAGCCCTGTCGCGGAGCTCCAACCCACAAACTGTGAGATCATGACTTGAGCCGAAGTTGGACACTTAACCAACTGAGCCACCCAGGTGCTCCC